GGGCTCCAGAGAATTTGGGGCGTGATAGAAATTTGGAGGGAGGCCTAAAACTGGATTGTAGTGATAGGCTATAAACTTATTAGAAATTATTTAACCATACACTTACAAAGGGTAAATTGTGTGGTATATACCTTCATAGAGCTGTAAGAAAAAGGATAAGGAATTAGCATGAACAACTCTAGGTATGTGAATTTGACAACTTCAATGAAATTGGCATAGTCCTTCAAGGATACAAACTACCAAAGCTTACTCAAGAAGAACCAGACAATCTGAATAGCAATATGTCTACTAAAGAAACTGAATTTGTAGTTTAACACTTTTTCCAGAAAGAAACTTGCAGGTGCAAACAATTACAGGCAAAATCTTACCAATTTTACACAAACAGTTCCAGGAAATAGAAGTGGGGACTCTCTAACACATCCTGTGTGGTCATGCGGCCATGATCGTCCTAATACCAAACCCAGGCCAAGGCAGTATCAGAAAACTATAGGCTAATATTCCTTATGAACACACAAACAATTTTAACGAAATTTTAGCACATTCAATCCAAACAATACATCATGATCAGCGGAGTTTATTCCCGGAATGCAATGGTCAGCTTAACTTTTACAAAGTCAATCACTGTAATTCACCATATTAACACACTGAAGAAGAAAAGCCTTATGATCAATGCAACGGATGCTGAAAACAAATTATAAATTCAAATCCATTCTTGATCAAAATTCTATGCAGGCTGACTTCAGCAAAAACTACAGAAAAAGGACCTTTGAAAATCTCATCTTCCAGAAAATCAATGACAATATTGGCAAAAATTGTCAGAACCAACTTTTTCAGAATTCTGGAAATTAAAGACTTGCAGCAATATAGGGATCATTTATTCAAGATAAATGGATGATGCTCTGTAAGAACAGCAATTTGGGGGTTTTAGTTTACCCTATCCTTCCTCCCCAGCTCTGTGGTAGACTTGAAAAACAACAGCCTCCATCACAGTGGAAACCAGCAGCATGGCTGCCACTAGAGGGGAAAAGCCCCATTTCTGGAAAATGTCACTATTTGACCTGTCTTGTGGCTCCTTGGAAGACCCTACTTGCACAGCTATCTTTATTTGACCTGACTCAGCTTGCAGAGTGGGAATAGTATTTTCTCAGAGGGCATTTGTCTAATCAGAAGTACTTATTTACCATCACAGCTACTTGACATGGAAGGTAACAGGGCGAACAACAGGCTAACCAAAATGCTTAAAAAGTAAAAATGAAGAACGGGATCTCCACTGTAGGGCTCTGAAAAGTTGTGACATGTTCCTGAGACTCTAGGAGGCCACGCACATGTGCAGGGCAGTATTCCTGCTAAGGAAAGACCTTAAGTGCTCATGTCTAGCTAACCTTCAGTCTCTGTAAGCAGGAAGTGGAAGCAAAGGCAGAGTAGCAAACTGGCTGAATGTTGAAGACACGTCCTGACACACACAGAGTCCCTCAGCAAATACTAGGAGACTCACTGGTTCCAGGAATTTAAATAAATCTTTATCTAATTGTTAGACTACTAAGCTAACCAAGCAGAGACTTCAATAGTTGCACATGACAAAAAATACAGTGCAGAATTAGTTTATTAAAGTCACTAAGCAAACAGCAACAACAAACAGCAACAATAAACCCTGGGAAAAGGGGAAATCTGATTTCCAGAGTTGCCCCATTATATTGCTTAAAATGTCCAGTTTTCAACAAAAACATACAAGACATACAAAGAAACAAGAAAGTATGATCCACATGCAAAGAAAAAAAGTAGTCTTTACAAACTGTACCTGCGGAGTCCAGATGTTGGACTTACTAGTTAAATCCGCTATTTAAAGTATGCTCAAAAAACTAAAGGAAACTATGTATAAAGAACTGAAGGAAGGCCGGGTGCGGTGGCTCACCCCTGTATAATCCTAGCATTTTGAGAGACCGAGGCGGGCAGATCACCTGAGGTCAGGAGTTTGAGACCAGCCTGACCAACACAGAGAAACGCCGTCTCTACGAAAAATACAAAATTAGCAGGGTGTGGTGGTACATGCCTGTAATCCCAGCTACTCGGGAGGCTGAGCCAGGAGAATTGCTTGAACCCAGAGGTTGCAGTGAGCCGAGGTTGAGCCATGGCATTCCAGCTTGGGCAACAACAGCAAAACTCAGTCTCAAAAAAAAAAGAACTGAAGGAGGCCAGGTGCAGTCGTTCATGCCTGGAATCCCACTACTTTAGAGGCCAATGCAAGAGGATCATTCGAACCCAGGAGTTCAAGACCAACCTGGGCAACACAGCAAGACTCTATCTCTTCAAAAACTTTAAAAATTACCTGGGCATGGTGGTATGTGCCTATAGTCCCAACTACTGGGGAGGAGGCCAAGGCAGGAGGATCACTTGAGCCCAGGAGCTGGAGGCTGCACTGAGCTACGATCGCACCACTGCACTCCAGCCTGAAGACTCTGTCTCTAAAAAAGAAAGAAAGAAAGAAAGAAAGAAAGAAAGAAAGAAAGAAAGAACTTACGGAAAGTATGAGAATGATGTTTCTGTACTTAAGAGAATATCAATAAAGAGAAAGTATAGAAAAGGGCCGGGCATGGCAGCTCATGCCTGCATTCCCAACACTATGAGAGACAGAGGCGGGCAGATCGCTTGAGCCCAGTTAGAGACCAGCTTGGGCAGCATGGCTAAACCCCATCCCTACAATAAATATAAACAATTAGCCATGTGCGGTGGCACACACCTGTACTCTCAACTATGTGAGAGGCTGAGGTGGGAGGATAGCTTGAGCCCAGGAGGCAGAGGTTGTAGTGAGCCGAGACTGCACCACTGCACTCTGGTCTGGGTGACAGAGTGAGACTCAGTCTCCAAAAAGAAAAGTTCTGATTAAAATGAAAATGATTTGAGCTGGAAGAGGGAGGAATCAGCAAACCTAAAGACAAGTCAATTGACATTATCCAGCCTGAGAAACAGAAAGAAAACACAGCAGTCTCAAAGACCTGTGGTGTTCCATCAACTACACCAACATATACATAATGGGAGCCTCAGAAGGAGAAGAGAGGGTTAAGAGAACAGACTTCTTTGAGAAAACAATAGCCAAAAACTCCCCAAATTTGATGTATACACATCCAAGAAACTCAACAAACTTCCAAGGAGGATAAACTCAAACAGAACCACACATATCATGATAAAACCACCAAAAGACCAAGAAAAAGAAAATTTTGCAAGCCAAGAAAATGACTCATCACTTACATAGAACCCTGATACGATTAACATCTGAATTCTCATGAGAAAAATAGAGGCAAGAAGACAGTGAGATAATACACTTTAAAATGCTCAAAGGAAAAAAAAAAATTCCAATCAAGAATCCTATATTCCAGTGTGTAGACATGTTGAGAATGGAGCCAGTGTGCTAAGAGGGGAGAGGAGCACAGTGAGTTTACCCTGCGGCGCGCTGGCCTGAGGACTGGGTGTGCTCGCCAGACCTGCTACTGAACAGCCCACAGAGGCTGGCCCTCTCAAAAGGAGCCAGAAAAGGGCCCTTCTGGACCAGCCTGGGTGCACTGCCCGAGCTGCTCCTCTGGAGCCAGGGCCCTGTGTCAGGGGCAGTGGAGGAAATGGGAAAGTGGAATTTATAAGACTAGGTGGGTCCGCCCATAGGACATGGGTGACTGAAGAGGCACAGTACAATAAGATGTAAGAAGTTCTAGACCAGGCCGGGTGCGGTGGCTCATGCCTGTAATTCCAGCACTTCAGGAGGCTGAGCCTGGTGAATCACTTGAGGTCAGGAGTTTGAGACCGCCTGGCCAACATGGCGAAACCCTGCCTCTAATAAAAATACAAAAGTTAGCCAGCCGGGTGTGGTGGTGTACACATGTAATCCCAGCCACTCAGGAGGTTGAGGCATGAGAATCGCTTGAACCCGGGGAGCTGGAGGTTGCAGTGAGCAGAGATCGCACCACCGCACTCCAGTCTGGGTGACAAAGCGAGACTCGGTCTCAAAAAAATATAAATGAATGAATGAATGAACGAAGTGCCAGACCAGGAGCCACAGACCGTTTTTGAACCAAACTCTCTCATTACTGGTCATAGGGCTTTGAGAATCACTTAACCTTTCTGACCCTGTTTTTTCATCTTTATAAACATGACACCCAACTTCTTCACATGGTGGTGAAGGGAATCAAATGAAACCATGTATGTGCACGTACCTAGACGATGGGCAAGTGCTAGACCAGCAGTTCTCAAAGTGTAGTCCAAAGACACGTGGGGGGTCCCTAAGACCCTTCGAGAGGGTCTGCTTGGTCCTCCCTTTCCCAACTAGTATCTCCATCTGCGTGAGCCCAGATTTCTTTCAAACACCTCCTCCAAAACAGCTGATAGGAGACTCCAGTTGTTCTTTATTAAACCGAAGAAATTTTCAATAATATAAAAACCATGAGCCAATTTTCTCACTTTTAATAATTTCATTAAAGTGTTATTTGTATTAAAAATTATTGGGCTTGTTACTAAGTGAATATTTTTTAAATTTCTGGTTTAATTCCTCACACCGTAAAAAATCAATAAATATAAGCAAAGGCTTTGGGGGTCCCCAAATTATTTTTAGCCGTGTAAACAAAGTCCTGAGACCAAACCGTTTGGGAACAGCTATGTTAAATGAACCGCAGGTGTTTTTCACCAGGCGAGCCGCCTCTCAGAGAAAAAGACTGGGTGTTCACGTTTGCCATCTGTGGGAGGGAGGCAGTTTTGTTTCCTGGGGCCGAGTCCAAGTAACCCGACCGAAGGTGTGTACCCATTTTCCGGGTGCAATAAGGGCCCGCCCACAGGGAGGCGAGGGCGGCAGCGACCTTGGACCAGGTCGAGCCGGCGCTTGGGAGACGCATGGTGCTCCCGTCCGGCTGTGTTCCCGTGAGGGCGTGGGGAGGCCGCGTCCGGCCCGCAGGGCTGCAATGGGAGCCGACCCGCGGCGAGCTGGGCCGGGGCGGCGGGGAACAGGGACCTGCACTCACAGCCTCAGCAGCGCCGCCGCAGCCGCTCCGCGCGCCGCCCTCCGCAGCAGACGTAGCGCCATCTTCCCGACGCGCGCGCCCCGCCCCTTGCCCTTAGCCACGCCCACACCACTTTCCACGCCCCTACGGCCACACCCCCGTCCACGCTTTCTTCGCCCCGCCCCGCAAGCCACGCCCTCCTTCCGCCCAACACTTGCCCCGCCCCGCGGCGAGTCCGGAGGTCACCTGCCCGGCTCAGCCAAGGTTCAGGACCTTCGTCCCCGCTGTCAGGCGGGACAGAGCAGAGGATCTGAATGGATGACTTCTCTTCGAGCGGCCTCTCTGGTGACCAAAGCCAACCCTCTCCGAGCTTCTGAGTGTTTGAGGCAACTGTTGGCAGACTGCGTTTTCCCAGCCAAAGAGCCAACATTTCTAGAGATTTCTTTGCAGTTTGTTGTTAAAATACCGCCTCACACTTTGTGAGCCCTACCATGTGCATATGTTGGATAGCAAGTATTCAAGAGCGGTCAAAAAGAATGCAGGAAGGCTGCATCCTGGAACACACATACCTTCAATAGTTCAGAACAGCTGTTGCCACCCTCTGAGCAGGGAAAGTGGCAGCAGCTCTTTACTCTGCCCCCTGCAGTCGTTCCGCAGCAGTGAGAACGCCGAGGCGTTAAAACAGGCCGGGCCCTGCCCCTGCCTCTTCCTTCTACTTCCCTGATCCAGCCGGCGACCACCTGCCGGCATCCACCTGCCTGGGCCTATGCTATCCCTAACGATGTCTTTTCCTTCGCGCTCTGCAGGTTTCTTTTTCGGCAGTGAAAAAGAATGTTCCATGTTCTAGGCTAATACCTGAAACCCTTTCTTAGAACCTTCCAGTGGAAGCTGAATTGTCCTCTTGCATGCAAAAAGTGACCGTTTAAACAAACAGCCTTTTCAGCCAGAGTGGGTTCCAAGATTTGGAAAAGTCAGGTGACTGGGAAAGTGGATGCTAAACTTCTGCTGGGCCTAAGAAATTTGTAATATTCCATATCAACAGCAGAAACTGCGCAGCCCCTTGGCGCCCTCCCCCAGTTCCCACACCTTCTCCACCTCAGGCCTCTCCTGTTTACTCCAAATTGGTCACTTTCTTGTCACCACCCTAGTCCCAGCCAGTGCCTGGCCCAGCCATACTGAAGCTTGAGGCAAAGGCAATTTCAGTAACACCAAACCTGTCTTTAATTAAAATTTTGGTATTTTGTTCATAATGGGATTTTTCCATTATCTTAGTTTTTAGTTTAGTGTGTGTTTTTTTGTTTTTGTTTTTTTTGTTTTTTTGGAGACAGAGTCTTCCTCTGTTGTCCAGGCTGGAGTGCAGTGGCACGATCTCAGCTCATACACTGCAACCTCAACCTCCTGGGCTCAAGTGATTCTCATGTCTCAGCATCCCGAGTAGCTGGGACTACAGACAAGTGCCACCACACCTGGCTAATTGTTTTGTATTTTTAGTAGGGACAGGGTTTCACCATGTTGGCCATGCTAGTCTCAAACTCATGGCCTCAAGTGATTCAACCACCTCAGCCTCCTCAAGTGTTGGGCTTACAGGCATAAGCCACCACTCTGGGCCAATATTACTTACCTTAATTACTGAGACTGCTTCTTAAATTTTGCACCCAGGCTGGTGCTGCATTCACCTCACTTCAGTGTGATTCTGGCCATCATCATCCTTTACCTAGATTATTTCAAAGCCTCCTTGTTCCCATTCTTCCCTGCGACAGTCACTCCTTTGCCACACAGCCCGGCTGACCTTTTAAAAGCATGACACAGCTCCCAGTTCCAGAGTTGACTTGCTATGTTTTGGTCAAGTTTCTTAAGCTGTTTCCTCATCTATAAAATGGAGGTATAAATAGTACCTCATAGAATTGTTTTAAGGATAGACAATTTACACATACATAGAGAGAAAGTATACACAGCCTGGGCAACAAGAGCAAGACTCTGTCTCAAAAAAAAAAAAAAAAAAAAACTAAGCAAGTTCTCAGTGGTGTTAACTACTCCTCATTATTATTGTCATTGTATCACTTCCCTTCTTAAAACCCTTTGGTGGGCCAGGTTCAGTGGCTCACACCTGTAATCCCAGCACTTCGGGAGGATGAGGCAGGTGGATCACGAGGTCAAGTGATTGAGACCATCCTGGCCAACATGGTAAACCTGTCTCTACTAAAAATATAAAAATTAGCTGGGCGTGATGGCGCACACCTGTAGTCTCAGCTACTCAGGAGGCTGAGGCACAAGAACTGCTTGAACCTGGGAAGCAGAGGGTGCAGTGAGTTACCACCACCGCACTGCAGCCTGGGCAACAGCACGAGACTCCATCTCAAAAAAAAAAAAAGTGTGTATATATATATATGATGAAAATATTCTACCAGCGTCATTACAGTTGAAAGCTGCCATGTAACTAGTTATCCTTATTTAAAATGCCTTGGATCTAAAGTAGGTCCTACTGTGACTTATTTGCTAAGTGGTTCAATTTCAGATTCTGCTGGAAGAAATTATAGCTATGCCAGTTCTCACCAGCAATGGTATGAGGTTGTAGAGTTTCTTCACAAGATTACTGACACATGTGTTTTGCTAATCAGTAGGTAGGTTACCAAAAACTGTTTCCTAATGCTAGTACATGTTAAAATAAAGCTTTATTAACCTTACCTAGATAGTATGTGGGCGTCTGTCCGTTTTCACACTGCTATAAAGAGCTGACCCAGAATGGATAATTTATAAAAGAAAGAGCTTTCATTGACTCACAGTTCGGCATAGTTGGGGAAGCCACAGGAAACACGGTCATGACGGAACGTGAAGGGAAAGCAAAGCACCTTCTTCACAAGGTGGCAAGAAGGAGAATGACGCAGAAGGAACTACCAAACTCACTGAGTGAGTTCTCAGATCTCGTGAGAACTCACTCACTATCACGAGAACAGCATGGGGGCAACTGCCCCCATGACTCAATGACCTCCACCTGGTCTCTCCCTTGATTGGTGATTATAGGGATTAGAATTCAAGATGAGATTTTGATGGGAACAGAGCCAAACCATGTTAACATATTCCAGATATAACAGAGAAAGGGATCCGAGTTCCTCCTTTAGGGCAGTCAAATCTGTCTTTACTCACAGCCTCCAAAACTGAAAGGAAAAGTATCAATTTTCCAAGTGCATTAGAGAGCATGTGAAATTTAGTAGGGTGAATAATTCCGAGATCCACTATCCTGTTGAGCTGAGCAGTCTGGAGGAATAGGCACTTGGTGGAGACACGGGAAAGAAGGATGGGGTGGGAGCATACTGAGGACAGGGAGCAGCCCCTTATTCCCTAGAGGTCTGATGTTTCTAGCCTACCCATTCCAGGTTCATGGCCGAGGCACCTGTAATAAAATACAAACTAACAAAAGAAAAACATGTGAGTGAATTTAATGTAAATTTTACACGACATGGGAGCCTTCATATAAAAATGAAGACCCACAGAAAAAGTGACATGTATATTTTTTCATGCTTAGGTTTAATGAGGGGTGGACAGTCGTGGAGAAGTGTGATTGGAGGGCTAAAGCATCTGATCTAATGGTGATAACCTGGAAGGAACTTAGCAAGGCCTGTTTGGTCAGGCTGTTTCTGTGTCTTAACAGACAAGGGTGTTCCTTTCCTCCACCTAAAGTGGTGGGCACTTACCCAGTGAGAATCTTATAACTGCCAGGTGCAGTGGCTCACGCCTGTAATCCCACCACTTTGGGAGGCTGAGCTGGGTGGATCACCTGAAGTCAGGAGTTCAAGACCAGCCTGGCCAACATGGTGAAACCCCGTCTCTCCTAAAAATACAAAAAAATCAGCTAGGCGTGGTGGTGTACCTTTGTAATTCCAGTTATTCAGGAGGCTGAGGCAGGAGAATCACTTGAGCCTGGGAGGCAGAGGTTGCAGTGAGCCGAGATCCCAACACTGCACTCCAGCCTGGGTGACAGAATGACATTCCCTACCAAAAAAAAAAAAAAAAAAAAAAAAAAAATCTCATAAGCTGCTTCAGGGGAGAAGGACAGGGCAGGAGGAAAGTCAGCGAGACCTTCCCGCTTTTGCCGTTTTTCAAATGGCAAGGTGCCATATTTTGAGGAAGTGTGTCTTGAATCCCATCAACCACAATAAAATTTAAAAAGTTTTTAATGTTTTGTGGAGACGGAGTTTCACTCTGTTACTGAGGCTGAAGTACAGTGGCATGATCATAGCTCACTGCAGCCTCAAACTCCTGGGTTCCAGCGATCTTCCTGTTTTGAGCTTCCTGAAGAGTTGGGATTATAGGCATGAGCCACTGAGCCTGGCCAAACAATTTTTCCAAGAAGCCATCTGTGTAGTATAAGAGATAGACAGATAAATGGGAAAAGGATGGATTCTGTGGTCCACTGGTGGGCTAGGGGAAGGGGTACAGAGCTGCTGCAATTCCTTCTGCGTAAGAGGGCAGGGAACTGGGAGGGGGGCTTTGCAGAGCAGGGAATGGAGACCTGGAATGTGGTGGAGACCGACTCTGAAAGTTTTAGAGGAAGAGTAGAGCAGGCAGGCAGAACACAGCTGGGATCCAAGAGATTGTCTGTAAATGACCTGAACACTCAGATCTTACCAATGTGGCTCTCAAATATAGGTCCCCTGAAGAAATGAGTTACATTTTCACCACGTGATCTTATAACTGTGATGATCTTGTAATTGTAATTGTGATAATGATTGAGGAAATAACTCCCACTGTTAGTGTTAGAAATATTTGGGTTTTGTATTGGCTCAATTTTTGGCAAATAGGCACACCCAAGGAGACATCAGATGAAAATATCTAATCATCCTATGGTTTACCATAACATGTAAATGGCTTTCATGTGGCAAGGAGCAGGAACAAATAGGAAAATGAAGCTGCATTCTTCTTTCGTGATCAACACCAAAGGCTCTTTATCAGAAGCCGGTTTTTCCTTCCTTTTGGTGTCTGGCCGATATAGGTTATTTTCACCAAAGTTGAGTCTCAAAGGCTGAGCGGGACCAGTGTCACTGATTTAAGACATCAGAATGCTGCACTTAGAAAGAGGCATATTAGAAGTTCTGTGGGATGATTTTTAAACACTGGCAC